AGTGGGAATTGAACTTGTACTCAACCGCTTGGGGGTGCGACAACTTCACCACTTCACTAAGTCGCCACACCCTTATTTATTATATTTTTATATGGTGAAGAATGTATATGTATTATAATTTTTCTTTCTAAATTAAATCATGTTAATCGTTTTTAGTTTATTTCTACGTACATAATACATATGTTGTCGTATATATGTAAATTCAAAGTTTTTAGTTATATCGTACGTATGTACATATTATCATTTTTTAGTTATAAAAAATTAAAATTTTTGATTGGTCAGCTGGCACATGATCTGCAAAGTAACCAATCATGATATGGTATTCAATTTGTGTGACCGACCAATCACGAGAAAGTTATCCTATATAACAGAATCTCTGTAATCTTAGTGGTACCAACAAGACTGAAAGATTATAAAGTATTTATACAATATATAAGTTATACAAATATATTCTTAGATCATATAAATCTAAGAAACTGGAAAGATAAATGTCTGCTTGGCAAGACCCAAGTAGAGAGATAGTACAAACCTTTGATAGTACTATATAAAAGATTATCATTAGGTAAACTGGCCAAAACTGAACAGAACCAAAATGTTTGGCAAAGCACTTCACCAATCAGACCACCAAAAGAATATTGAAAAAAAAAGACCCAACCATAGGAACCAGAAACAGGTCAAAACCTTTCTAAGCTATCTGGATTGGTAGTTTGAAATAGTCCGAGATACTGATAATAGTTTGTAAAAATATATACTGGAGTTTGAGTAAACTTTGCAAAAGTAGCAATAATAGTAGTGGCTTCAGCTTGCAAGTATTTGTTCTCAAACTTGGTATAAGTTACTGAAGACTAGACTAGCCAGATTGTGGGTATAGAAAGCTCTAGCAGGTTTACCATGAGAATAAACTAGTTCTAAGGGGTCTTAGAAGTAATTAGATAGTGGTAAAAATAACACGATAGTATAAAATTGATCAAAGAGTTTAAATAAAAGATCTACAAGTAAATCTTAAATATAGCAATTGGCAGATAACTATAAATAGAAATAAATATGGCAGAACTCTTAAATAGACAATAACTAAAGTTGTATATATGACTAATTGTACTCTTATTGGTATAACAAAGTCAAATAAAATCAACAAGACCAAGCTAGTGCTTGATCCAGATTGCAAATAAAATGTACTAGACCCCAAAGTAGTCACCTTAATATTAAAAAAAAAATTTTTTCTTAATAGTTATTAAACTAAATTGGCTAATAAATATAATATAAAACTATAATATATTAATTGATAATCTACCTATTAACTAAAAAATAGGTAAAATGTAGTATCTTCTATCTAAAATTTTTTTCTTACTAAGTTAACAATATATGTCTACTAATTGAAAGTTATAGAGCTTGTCAAGACATATCTAATGGTGGTTAGATCATTCATATTGGCCTAGCTGATAGCAGGATATTATTAAAAAATGATTGGTTAACTATATAAAAATCTGTAACAGAAATCATATATGAAAATTACTATAGCTGAAATATGGTATGCTTCCATTTAAAACTTTTTTCTTACTAAGTTAACGATATATGCCCACTAATTAAAAGTTGTAGAGCTCATTGAGACACATCTAATGGTAGTTAAATCATCTATATCAGCTTAGCTGATAGCGAGATATCATCAAAAATGATTGGCTGACTATATGTAAATAATATTTGTTTACATTGTAATATGCTTGCTTGGCTTAACTAAATAATGAATATTATAATAATAAAATATGTCATCGCCAGTTAAGTCAAACAAATATATTACTTGACTTAATGTATAAGAGAGGTTAAGGAATGTTTTAAACAAGAAAAATAAAATAAAAGCCTAAAACTAAATAAAAATACTATCAAATAACTAATCAAAAATCAAAAATAAATAAATTTACACAAGTTATAATATCACAAACACACAAAATTGAATAAGCTTATGCAACCTGTAGATCGTATAACTTTAAAAATTATATAAACACCCTCTATTCTTCCAAACTTTTAAAATTTTTCTTTTCTTTTAAATTTTACAAATTTTATTTATTTTATATAATAATTATTTAACTCAAATGATGGAAGCTCAAACTACCAATAATCTTCTTGACCTATTACCACTTGAAGAAATACAAGCTCTAAAACAATTCTTGAAAATTTGGAAAAATAATAATACTATGAACAATATTATAGAAATATCTGGTCATTATTCATGAAGATGGATCAAAAATAACAAGCCCAATCGAAGATATTATCCAACAATCAATGGAAAGTATTGTTGA